CACTCTATCTAGACCAGGAGAGGTAGAAGCTCTACCTAATATACTGAAATAAACACAGGCAGGCAGCCAAAATGGAGACAAAGAAACATGTCCCAACTGAAAGAAGAGAACAAAATTCCTGAAAAAGAACTAAATGAAATGGAGACAAGCAATTTACCAGATGCAGAGTTCAAAACACTGGTTATAAGGGTACTCAATGACCTCGGTGAGAACTTCAACAAAGAGATAGGAAACATAAAAATGGACATAAAAAATAACCAGTCAGAAATGAAGAATACAATAACTGAAATGGTGACTACATTAAAGAGAATCAATAGTAGATTAGATGAATCAAATCAGCGATTTGGAAGACAAGGTATCAGAAAACACCCAATCAGAACAGCAACAAGAAAAAGGAATCCAAAAAAATGAGGATAGTTTAAGGGGCTTCTGGGACAACATCAAGCATAACAACATTTGCATCATAGAAATACCAGAAAGAGAAGAGAGAGCAAGGAATTGGAAACCTATTTGAAGAAATCATGACAAAAAAACTTCGCTAACCTTGTGAAGGAAATAGACATACAAGCCCAAGAAGCTCAGAGAGTCCCAAGCAGGATGAACCCAAAGAGGCCTACGCTAAGACACATCATAATCAAAATGGCAAATGTTAAAGACAAAGAGAAAATCTTAAAAACAGCAAGAGGAAAGTAGTTATCTTCAAGGGAGCTCCCATAAGACTGTCAGTTGATTTCTCAACAGAAACTTTGCAGGCCAAAAGAAATTGACATGAAATATTCAAAGTGATGAAAAACAAGATTAGGCCACTCCGCAAGGCTATCATCTAGAATTGAAAGAAAGATAAACAGCTTTCCAGACAAGAAAAAGCTAATGGAGTCCATCACTACCAAACCAGTATTACAAGAAATGTTAAAGGGACTTCTTTGAGAAGAAGGAAAAAAAGATAAAAAATATGGATAATAAAATGACAATAACTACATATCTATCAACAATTACTTTAAATGTAAATGAATTAACTGCTCCAATCAAAAGACATAGGGTGGCTGAACAGATAAGAAACAAGACTTTTGCATATGCTGCCTAGAAGACTCACTTCAGATCGAAAGACACACAAAGACTGAAAGTAAAGGGATGAACAAGATATTTCATGAAAATGGGGGGTGGGGGAGAAGCTGGGATAGCAATACCAATATCAGACAAAATAGACTTTAAAATGAAGGTTATAACAAGAGACAAAGAAAGGCCCAGTAATCCCACTTCTGAGTATTTATCCAAAGAAACCCAAAACACTAATTTGAAAAGATATATGTATCTCCACATTCACTGCTGCACTATTTTCAATAGCTAAGATATGGACGCAACCTCAGTACCCATCCTCAATAGACAAATGGATAAAGAAGAGATAGTACATATATACAATGGAATATTACTTGGCCATAAAAAAATGAAACCTTACCATTTGTGAAAACATGGATGGACCTAGAGGGTATGAAATAAGTCAGACGTAAAAGACAAAATCGTGATTTCGCTTATATGTGGAATCTTAGAGGGTATGAAATAAGTCAGACGTAAAAGACAAATATCGTGATTTCGCTTATATGTGGAATCTAAAAAACAAAATAAAGACTCAAAACAGAAACAAACTCATAGATACAGAGAACTTTTGATGGTTGCCAAATGGGGGAGGGGAAAAAGGGGAAGGGATTGAGAAGTGCAAAATGCCAGTTATAAAAACAGTCGTGGGGATGTAAAGTACAGCATAGGGAAGAGAGTCAATAATACTTTAATAACGATGTATGGTATCAGATGTGTACTAGATTTCTCAGGGTGATCAATTCATAAGTTATATGAATGTCAAATCACCATACTGTACACCTGAAACTGATATAATCTGGTATGCCAACTGTAATTGAAAAATAAAATAATTATTAAAAAACCTTTTAAGCCCATTTTGAAAGCAAACAATTAAGAATGTCATCCATAGTTTACTCTGAAGTTTGTGTGTGCATCTGTGTGTGTATATACATACACACACAGAGGGCTAATCGCCAGCTCTCTCAACACACTCAAACCAAATCAGGCATCATAATCCGTATATAATAAGACAGTGCAAGTGACCATGAGACCATTATAAACAAAGAACTTCACATAAGTCATTGCAATTCAGAATTTTTAGTCTGAAATAAGTGAGAAAGAACAAACTTAAACAAATACAAATCAAATATACTTGTCACTGAGCCCACTAAACAGGTTTAATTCAAAACTCAAACGTCATCATATTGGAAGGGGAAATGAGAAGCTAATAACATGCACTGAAGTTTATACAAAATTAGTATGTAAAGTGAGAGATATGAACCTAATGACAAGTATGAAGCAACGGTTTGCATTTTAACAGACTAAGCAAAAAATGTAATTGACAAAGAGGCAAATCTAAATGAATTTCCAGCTATTTCAACACTAAGTGCAGCTGCATGCTAATTATGAGTGTTATGAGGAAAAAGATCTGTTTAAACTAAAATTTTTTTGAAAATGCAGCTAATATGTTAACTTACACACTGTACTGAAGTTACCATTTGATCAAAAAAAAAAAGGACTTTTTCCAAAAAGTATTTTTTAAATATCAGACTATTCAATCTGCAGTTACTTCATATTGATCAGTAACAAAAGTATTTGGAAGCAAATGAAAATATTAAAGTGTTTCTGGGGAGGGAGGGGGAAGGAGAAAATAAAAAAGTAAAATGTTTAAAAAAAATTAAAGTGTTTCCGGGAGCAGTTTTTGTCATTCCTGGAATTAACTCAAGGTCAAAAACATTTGTTATTAAGAAGGAGCTAATACAATAAAATTTCCTTTAAAAGCCATTAAGAATACCCCATTCCGTGTCCTATTAGTGGCAGTTATGAGCTCAAGCTCTGACACCAGACGTCTTGTGTTCAAATCCTAATTCTATCATTTCTTGCTGTGTGACTTTGAGCAGATCAATTAACCACACTGTGCCTCACTTTTCTTATCTAAGTATTAGGGTGATAATAGCACCTACTTCCTGGGATTACTGTGAGAATTAAATGTGTTCATACATGCAAGGCCCATGCTCAGTAACAGTGAGCTATCACTTTAATTCTCAGGACGACAGTCTCTCAGAGCAGTCTTTCTTTAGTGTTAAAAAAAAATAAACTGACAAGGAAGATTGTGGGGAGCATGCCATGACTTTGCTGGTCCCTGGATGTGAAATGCTGTCATTTCCCTCCCACCTCTTACCCCTTCTCCTTGATGGATGGGAATCACGGGAATATCTCTGGCTGCTACTCAGTAAAGATCAAGTCTGGGTGAGAAACTGACTGATGTGACCTTCCCCGCAACGATGTTGCACACGTGACTCTAGAGCACGGTGAGGAGTAAGCCTCAGCTCTCTTAACATGTGCTTTGAGGTCCTGGCATACTTTCATCAGCCCTCAAAGAGATGGTCTGGTGACTGGTCATGCACCTGACTTTGCATTTTGATCTTTATCCAGATCCCTTGGAATATCCCACCAAATGTTTTCTTTATCCTTGTATTTTCCAAGGTCATGAAAAGGACAGGGCACAAAAATCAAAGCCCACGCAGAAAGATTTCATGTTCATTCTTCCCCTTTAATTTACTGGAAGTTCCAACATCTGAATAGAAGGAAAAAGGCCAAGTCTACAGGCATCTTGGCAGAGTGACGAGTCATCAAAAAGAGATGTGAATTTCCACAAAATAAACACACCAAAGCCAGGCTACTCCGCACCATCTCGAGTCCAGTCATACTGTGACTGCACTGGCATGCCTGCCAAGAGACAAAGGGAAGGAAACCAGGAGAAAGACACAAAGCCCTCAGCTTTGAATTACATACAGACTCTGGCTCCAAAGGAAGACAAGCGAGATTGCCTCCTGCTACCTGCACAGGAGAGGAAGGTCATTACACGCATGGGATTCCTCCAGGATCCAATAAGACAACAGGGTCTGGGCAAATATATCTGGAGTGAAGATGAATTCAGGGTGAAGTCATGCACTTCAACCTCCAAACTTCCTTTCCCACGTTCCTTTGCGCTATGTATTACGTCGTTAGGAAGTAATTCATTCTCTCCAAAGATCAGCTACCTTATTTATACTTTAGCATGAATGTAATCGCAGTTATTTCTCTCCAAGTCATTTTCCTTTGCTTATGATGTCTAAGGTGATTAGAAGCTTTATGCCCTGCTCCAATGGGGTCGGTGCTGAGGCCAGTGTAGCTCAAAGCAGGACAGCACGCCTTGTCCGTGGACCCAAATAGTCCTACTTCCACATGAAATGTCTAAAACAGATAATTACCGTTAACCTAAATTGGACTTAAAAATAAACTGAACAGATTAATTTCTTTATATTTTCAAATAACGTAGAAAGACAACAATCCCTTAAACATAAAAGAAAGCATCGTTTTGGAAAGAATTGCCAGAAAACCTAATTTGTGGTCCAGCATCACCACAAATACCATGTAACCACAGACATGTCACTTGAATTTTCTGGCACGATAAAATTGGGCTTGATATCTAAGATTCCTTTCAACTCTAAAATGTCACGATCCATTCATTATTTTCAGTTCAAGCACTTTCAAACATCACACTAGCAAAAGTTCAGTTCGCATCTAGAAATGAATATGAACTATGTGATTAAAGATGTAAATGAATATGAACTATGTGATTAAAGATGTAAAAATGGACTCTTAAAATCAGTGAAGCATGGGTGTGAGAAAAAAACTAGAGTATGCTGTAGAATTAAGACACTTTTCCCCTCAGCCCATTATTATGAGCTACCTGACCTAATACCATTAGCAATATTTTTTTTTACACGGCAGCACAGCCACGTGAACTCTCAAACGTGTGAACCGATAAGGACCAGAGCCTAAGGCGAAATGCTACCTCAGAGACCCAGCGCCAGACGTGTTGTGTGTGGACAGGGAGAACTAGCCTCCGGGGCCACTGGAAGTTACTGCATAGCGCTCACCTTCCACCAGTTGGTCCAGGCTAGAAATCTTCTTGAGCCCATCAATGGTGTAGATTGTTCTCACTCCCTGGGGCAAATTCACGTTATCCGACAGAGTTCGGGTCAAATCAGCCAGCAGGGCCTCAAAAGACCGGAACCGGTCTGGGGAGATGGCATACACAATCCCTTTGAAGTATCGATCGCCGTTTCGATAGAAACGAACTTTCTTGGCCTTCTTCTCGGAGCTGAGGGTCTGCAGCGTGCGGGTTCGGTAAAAGCTGCAGTGGGCGCTGTGCGTGGGGCTGGGCAGCCCGTTCACCCGCGACCCTCTGCTGTACCTCTGCGCCTTATCCCGCTCGTCAAAGTGCTCCAGCTCCATGTCTCTGCCGAAGGACATGATGGGGTTAAAGTTGAACCTATGAGGCACAGCAACAAAGACAGACACATATGGATATTATTTTACGATCATGGTTTGAAAGGCTCGGCTTGAGAGCAGCTGGTGGAAATATTGCTATAATCGATGGTATATTTAATATGAGTTATCAAGTTGGGAGAGAAAAAGGACAACATAGAAATAGAAGATGCAGACCCGGTGGGAACAGCTTAATAATCAACCCCAGTTTTATCAGAAACAGCTCCTAGGTACTGGCCACCTACACAGTATCAGCCTTTGAACAGCTATTATTTCCAATAGTCGCAACAAACCTTTCAAAGTATTTTTACCGTTATTTACTGATGAAGAAACGAAGGCACGGAAAAATTTATCCTAAATTTCTCTAAGTAATGCAGTTGAGACATGCTTGAACCTAGAACCCCAACCTGGGTTTATCCAGCTCCAAAGCTCAAGGCTGCCTGCAGGGCCGTGTGCTAAGCCTAGCGGCAGGCAGAAAACAGGCTTCCACATCACCATGCAGCTAAAGATAGGTGGTGGGGGCCAGGAAACAAAGAGGGTGCCAGCATTTCAGTCACACTGTCAACATCCTGTAGTGTTTGCTCCCCGCGGCCAGATGGAGAACAAATGGACTCAATCTGTAAGATCTACCAATTTAAGGAAGATTTTCCAACGTATTCGCATGTTCAATAGAAATTATTTTAAAAAGTGAATTCGCCATAACTCATTTACTTGATAAACTGGGTTTAAAAAGAAGCAGGAAAAGAAGAACAAAAACCACAATAACAACAAGAAAAGATAAAAGTTACTTCTTCATTACTTCATTACTTCTGCCTTTCCTTCCGCTAAGGTTCCCTTTGTCCTAAGGTTGAGGAAACTGGGGCTTAAGGATGTTAATCCAGACTTGACCCGGTACTAGCTGTGCGACCTTGAGCAATCTACTTGATAAACATCTTTAAGCCTCGATTTCCTCAGTCATGGGATTGACAACGGTACCTACCTCAGAGTTACTGTCAATCATGGGATTGACAACGGTACCTACCTCAGAGTTACTATTAACTATCAAATAATTTAATATACATGATGCACTTAGGAAAGCGTCTAGCATATAATAAGTATTAACATTTTTTATTAATGCGATCTGATTCTGTCACAGAAAAAACAAGTAGGAACAGAATCTCCCCTTTCTGATAAGGGAGGCTCCTGGTGAGCCCTCCTGATTTCCCTTCATGAGCTCTGAAAGGGGTGCCTGTACCCCACAGTCCCCATCTTACTTTCTATGGAGCCTTGTCATCAGCAAGCTGCCTCTGGGGTTAATTCGTCCTTGCTGAGGGGTCCATTGATAAGGCTTGTGGTATTGTCCCTTGCAGGGGGAATCATGTTCTAACTCGATCTAGAAAGTGGGAAAACCTCAGCATTCAAAGAAGTTCTAATGACAAAATTTCAGGCATATTGAAATAAAATATAAGGGAAATGGAAAATCTGGGGCAAGAACCTACAAGTGCTCTCTAAATCCCACGAGGTAAATAATGTCCCCTTTCCAAAGGTCAGTCCAAACTAACCAAAGGCATCGCCAAGCCTCCCTGACCCTTCTGTGACCCTCAGTAAACCGCCCTCTGAGCCATTCAGAGTGGCTAAAATTTCATGCTCAAAAGCACTGCTAGAGACTGTGTCCTGAAATGAATGGAGTGGAAAAAGCTAATATTTATTGAATGTCTATGACGTCCTGACACTATTGCTCAGCAATCAATTGTTGTAGAATATGCTCAAAATTCTCTTCCAAACCTCAAGACAATCCAATGAGGTAGGTAATATGATCACGACTGATGGTGATATACTCAGGGTCCCAAAGTCACAATTGAGGGGGTTGAGATTTGAACCCAGATTTACTCTGATTTGGAAGCAGGCACTCCCTCCCTGCTGCCCCATGTACTGTGTCCTAGAGGCCTAGATCTTCCGAGATTGGACCCTTGTCACATGTAAAGCAGAGATATTTTAAGCCCTCGCTCCTAACTAGCTCTGTGACCTTGGGCAGGACATTTAACTGCTGAAGACCACATGTGCAGACAGAGGCGGTGTTGCTGTCAGCTGTCCCCTAACGTCTTTACCTGCACGTGTGTCTACTGCTGACCCCAACTGGCGTCAGGAGGCGAGGCAACGGAGTGCGATTGAAATCTTCAGTGATTATGAGTTCAGTGCTTTTCTTTTGTCTCCAAGTATGAAAACTGCCTCATGCCTCTTAATAACTCACAGTAGTCTATATTTGCATTTTCTAGAAAAAGATCTCGCATATATAGGTATAAAATGGTTTCATTGATTTTGAAATTAGATAACTTCGAAACAATTATCAGTTGATATCTCATCCTTCAAGCAGCTATTGAGTATCAGAACCAATATGTTGCCCATGATATCACAACTGCTCCTACTTTAAAAATGTATTTGTTTTTAAAAGGGCCCTCTCGTCTTCCAAAAGGGGTGGTGGGGAGATGATACTGCCATATTATACCAACTCACTAAACTCTTCAAACTTTGTAAACTATAAAGGCAGGATTGGCTTTTGAAGGTTTTAGCCTATTTTTAAAGCCAGTCTTCCAACCCTAGGGTTTCCTCCCCAATCTGTATGAACCCAAAGAAAACAAGCAGGACCCTAGCAAAGGATGGCAAAGTTGTGCCACCAGAGTGAAAATCTACTTTGAAGGGGCTCTTGTCAAGTCACAAATAATTTAGCAATTATTGGAATTCCTTAGAGGGAACAGGCTTTTAGAACCAAGAATTCCACAGCAAGTAAAAAAAAAAGATCAATTTAAAAGAGAGAAGAGTTGATTTTGTTTTATTTTATTTGTGTATTTCCTCAAATTGGATCACACATTCAACCAAGGGAGGAACCACATCTTGCACTCCCTGTCACTGAGTCTGCCCCAGAGTAGACAACAAAGAAAAACCACACTCAGAGTGAAATCATTTTCAAGGCTCCAGATACCACTAAATGGATGTCACAAACCACACTACACACCCTAGCATTCCAGTAATTACGTGTGGCTTCAAAATAGGTGTTGTTCCCCTTGCCTCAGCTGGCTCAGCTCTCCAGGGGCCTTAGTCATATATTTGACCAAGGAGATTCACTGGGGCCCCACAGGCTCCCACTTTGTGCACAGGAAGCCGGCTCAAGCACCCCGTAGCCACGTGTTCACCCACCGTTAAGGGCTAAGGGCCTGAGCCACATGTGTCCTGGTACCAAGAAGTTCACCACACCATCTTAGCCACAGAAATGACAGAAACTTGGGTGGGGAAGAAGGGGACCTTGCTCTTATCAGAAATTTTCATAGAAACCCAGCCAGGCCAAGAAATCAGCATCCTCATTTGTTCTCTGTGGGATTTCTCACCATTTTGAGGAAACTGTTCATTCTCCTCTAGATGAGCACATGAATTTCTGTTTTAGAGAACCCCAGGCTGCTCTCCCTCTGTCTCTCTGTCACCATCTCTCTCTCCTTCTTCATGCCTACACTCCCGCCCCCAAAACACACACACACACACACACACACACACACACACACACATATCAAGAAATAATTTAGCATAAATGCTACCACATCTAAACAGATGCTGGACCTGGAAGTTCCGAGGTTTATTTTTTCCAGGAGGATTAGAACCCAAGTGGACGGTCGGGCTAGAATGAGAGGCGCACACACACCTTCAGAGTGCATGCACCACCCTGGACGTAGACAGGATGTGTGTGGATCCTTTATAATGTTCCTACATGTAACCTCTCTTAAAATCCCTTCTGACCTGCATTCACGTGACATTTCATACCCCAAACGCTGTCCTACTTCCCTTTCCCGTCGAAAGGCGACCTTTTTTTAGGAACATACATAAACCGTATCCACGGAACAGCCTGCAGTGTGGCGGCGGAACGCGTGTGCACCAGAATCTGGGCACACATTCACAGGTGCGGAGAGAGGCAGCTGCTTTGAATGAAACCTTTCATCTGCTCCATCTCCTGCAAGCACCTCCTGGCCACATCCAGTAAGCGAGTCCGGGCAAACCCGGTTTGCAAAAGCAGCCTCTTTTGTGGAGCAATGCAGGGCTGTGAGTGCGCTCCCGCTAGGAGCAAAATGCCGCTTCCCCTCCGCGTGCTTTTAGCGCTGCAGGTACTAATTTGTACACGACTAGCCTCGCTGTCCCTGAAGGAACTTGAGACCCTGCAAATATACTTGCAGCACCCACGGTGCAGCCACCCCCCAATGCACAGATCGCCCCATCCCCTGGCGCACACCACCCTCCCGGGCACACGGGAAAGCACACACAATAAGAGGCCTGGCCCGGCCACTCCTAGGCGCAGACTTGGTCCTCGCTCCGCGGCCAGTTTTGACAATGACAAACCCCTCGCCCAGCTCCTCGGCCCTGGCTCCTCTTCTCCACTAACAACGTGGCGAAAAGCTACCCACCCCCGCCCCCCGCCCCCCGTCCGACTCCCCGTTTTAAGCCCCCGCGCCCGGCTCCCTATTTTAAGTCCGACTCCCCGTTTTAA